ATAAAGCTCCTTAAAAGCGAAGCCCCCCCTAATTAACCGATTTGAATTTCCCCGTTCGCCGCTCGGTGCTTCCTCGGGTGATTAGAAAGGGATATTCATTTATGCCTTTTAAACGCCGCCCCGATTAAAATCAGAGAGGTTTTTTTTTTTTTCTTTTTTTTTTTTTTGCCTTCATCAAAATCTAACATCCTTGAGAAATTAATTTGATGCCTCTTGTTATCAATTAATTGAATCTCGTTGGGAGAGAGCCTGGTGCGGCGGGCGCTGTGCCGGCCCTTCCCTTCCCCGTTGCTTTCCCCCTCTCTTCCCCTTCTGCCGCCGCTTCCGAGCGCTGTGACATTATAAAAACTCGGCCCTTCTCCTCCTTATTTTCACCCATCTCATAAAATCAATGAATAAAACTTGCTCCCCCCCCTCCCCCCACCCCTCCTCCCCCGTTCTCTGCAGTTCCTCCAGTACAAAATACCCTTTTTTCGTTCTCCCTTTCCTATAACTTACAGTGGGAGAGAAAAGAAACTTGGTGCTTTAGCAATCTCCCAGCGTCGCGGCGCAGCCTTGGTCCGTCTTTCTTCCTTTTCTTTGCTGGATATTGGATATTTCACTTGAATCTCCCTCTTTTCAATTAAAAGCTCCTTCCCCTCGCCCCGCTCCATTCTCCTCCTCTGTCTCGGCGGTGATTTTCCTTTCTTTAATATTTCAGCTCTATCCCCGGGGACGGATCTGCCCGCGTCTTTTTTTTTTAATAGACTTTTTCTCCCTCTATTAAACTTTTCCAATCTTCATCCCTTTATTTTATTTTATTTTTTTTACCTTCCCACCTTTTTAAGCAAAAAAAAAAAAGTTAGAAAATGTAACTTCCCGAGTGCCCCAGTTCTGTATTTAAATAACTGAGCCAGGCAAACGGCGGCGCCGGCTCCGTTTGAAGTCTCCTCACAGCGAAGGCGGTGGGTTTGGGGTTGGGGTCCCACAGTTGGCCCCGCTGTCTGCCTTTGGGGTGCTGTGTGGTGTGGTTCCCTTTGCTGCAGGAGCAGAGGGGCTGCAGGTGGTTGTGTTGCAGTTCTGCTCCCCTCCAGCCCTGTTCTGCACCCAACATCAGTGTTGGTTCTGCTGCGTCCCAGCACTGCTGTTTTTGGGCCCCTCGGTCACTCCGGGCTTGAAACCTTCACTCTGGACCTCAGACCTTCACTCTATCCGTGAGCATCTGTAGGGAACCCTAAACTCATCCATGATCATCTGCGGGGGATCCCACGTTTCCTCCATGAGTACTCAGAGGGCACCCCAGACTCATCCATGAGCATCTGCAGGGGGCCTCAAACCCACCCATGACTGCCTGTAGGGGATCCCAAATCCCTCCATGAGCATTTGCTGGGGACCCCAAGTCCCTCCATGCACACCCGTGTGGGACCCTAAACCCATCCTTAAGCACCTGTGGACCATCCTAAATCTTTCCGTGCACATTTGCAGGGGCCTCCAAGTCCTTCCATGAGTGCATTTAGGAGATCCCAAACCCATCCATGAGTACTTGTGGGGGATCCCAAACCCATCCGTGATTACCTGTGGGGGATCCCAAACCCATCCATGGGTACCTGTGGGGGATCCCAAATCCTTCTGTGAGCATTTGTGGAGGACCTTGAATTCCCTCCATGAGCACTGATGGGGCACCCCAGACCCATCCACGAGCACCTGTAGGTTACTCCAAACTCACCCACAAGTGCCTGTGAGGAAGCCCCCACCCATCCACGATCACCTGTAGGGACCCCAAACCTGTCCATGAACGCCTATGGGGTGCCCCAAACCCATCCTGTAGGGGATCTTAAGCCCAACCATGAGCACCTGTAGGTTACCCCACACTCATCCACGAGCATCAGTGGGTACCCAGTGTGGGGTGCTCCCACCCCTGCTCCATGGTGGGCGCCCATGGGTGGCACTGGGGTTCCCCCGAGTGGTTGACTGAGGCCCAGGCACCGAGTCACTATTTAATTAGAGGTCCCTGATTAACAAAACTTGGTGTTCGGCTTCCTCCTGCCCTCGTCTTTCCTGGCTCCGAATCAATGGCTTTGATATGCTAATTAGGGAGTAATTTAATTTCAAAAGGCCGCAATTAACAAGGGTGTTGTGGACATGCTGTAGTTAAGCGGCGTAATCTAATTTGCATTAGTAACAAGCAGGGACTAATTAGAAGCTTAATTAGACACTTAGACGGCTCTTGTGTTTACTTTCTTAATGAGATGGAGTGGGGCTCTCTCTCTCTCTCTTTTTTTTAATCTTTTCAAGAGCACAACGGAGGGAAACATGGAATGGAGCCACGTGCCCGGCCCTGACCCTGCTGGGGGGCTTGGGTGGTCCCAAAAAGTGGGGCAGAACCCCCCTATGGAGTCAGAGCATCGTTGGGTGCAGTTGGAGCACCACTGGGTGCAGTTTGAGCACCACTGGGTGCAGCTGGAGCATCACTGGCTGCAATTGCAGCATCCTCGTGTCTCCAGGTGCGCCTGGTCCAGGTCGAGCTGGCAGTTGGGCGACCCTGTGGGGATGTTCCCCCTCGGTCCCTGGGGATGGGGAGGCTGCCCCGTCAGCCCATGCCCTGATCCTGGGGTGATGCAGTGCTCAGTGCTGCCCGGAGGAGTCGCTGGGAGTGAGATGAAAGTGGGAGATGAAAGTGCCTGGAGGTGTGATCCCATTAAAGCGGTGCCCGGGCTTAGCCAATCCTCGGTCCTTTAAATCTCTTCTAATTTCCAGTAATGCTTTAGATTCATTTTAGCTCCCCCGGACTTTTATTTTTAATCCCCTTTCCACATTTCCATGTGTTTATGTGTTAATTAAAGGGTAAAAAGCCATTCTCCAAGCAATCCCGGCTGCCTCGGGTTCGGGGCGGCCACGGAGCATTCCCACTGCTGTGCGTGGGGCTGGGGGCGGCCACCCCATAGATGCCACATCCCTCCTCCAGCGCCCACGGCTCCGTCCCCTCCACACTCTGAGTGTCCGTCAGGCTGTTAATTGCGTTAATTACAGAGCTCAGAGGTGTTAATTGGAAAAGCCCGGTCCCACGGCTGTGGTGTGTGTTGGGGTGTCGGTGGGAAGGAATGGCGCATGGCGGGTTAGCGGCAAGTCGGGATGTCAGGGAGATGTTGCTGCTCAGATTAAGCAATTGTTAATTAAAAAACGACGGTAATTAATATGCTCTGGTTACCATATGGCGCTGCTGAAGGCCGGGGGAGGCGTTTGTTGCGGAAGGTGCTGCAGAAAAAGGGGAAAGAAAGGCGCAGACCTCGCCGTCATCGTTTTTATTATTGTCTTTTTTTTTTCTATCGGGTTTTGTGAAACTTTTATATGAATGGAAATATTTTCATTACGACGAGCGCTTGCTTTTATGACTTCCTGCACAGTGCTGCTCCGTCCCATCCGGGCTGCAAGCTCTCTGCAGTGCGGGGACGGGGCCATCCCCCACCCCATCCCAATCCACCCCATCCCATCCCATCCCACTCCATCCCATCCCATCCCTGCTGCTCCTCACTGCACAGAGATTTCCTCCCATTTCCCAGCAGCTCTCTCCATCAACTCATCCCCGTGGCCAGGAAAGTTGATATCCTTTCCAAAACTCTTTTTTTGGGGGGGTTGTTAGTTGTTTTTTTTTTTTACTTTTTCTTTTTTTGGCCTTTCTTTAATGCTTCCTGTCGTAGCTCTGGATGTTGCTGTTCTCCATATAAAAGTCAGATCTCTCTTTTTGAATCCTGCTGAGGGGTTGGCTGTGGTGAGGCCGTGTGACTGCGGGACCTGTGGGTTCCTTGCGGGGCTGCACGTGTCCAACACTGCAGAGTTTTCTGTAGGAAAGTGAGAAAAGCAACCAAAGAATTGAATTTTTCTAAAGACTCTTTGCTTCTGGGGCAAAGCAGGAGGGAATGGAGCTCCAGCTTTCCTGGCTGCTTCGCTCCTAACGCAGCACCTGCAGGCAGCATCCCTGGAAGTTGCTCAGCTTGAGCTGTCCCAGGGCTGCTGCTGTGCCCACACGCACAGCCCCATGCAGTGTCCTCCATGCACACCCCATGCAGTGTCCTCCATGCACACCCCATGCAGTGTCCTCCATGCACACCCCATGCAATGTCCTCCATGCACACCCCATGCAGTGTCCTCCATGCACACCCCATGCAATGTCCTACATGCACACCCCATGCAATGTCCTCCATGCACACCCCCTTGCAGCAGCTGCAGCATCCCCCCAGTGACATCCCCGTGCCCTGCAGTGCCCCCATGCTCTTCTCCCCATGCACCGTCCCTGTGCTCATGGTGCAGGAGAGCCAGCAGCCCCACATGGGAATTAATGTCAGTCATATACCCTGCGGAAATGACTTCTGAAACGCATATCATCTCAAACATGCAAATGAGAAGCTTGCTTCACCCTGTTTAATATGAATGATCAGCTCCTGAATAGCTATTATTACACGCCACATTTCAGCAATTATGTTGTTCGCGGTTTGTCTTGCTGTCTTTTGGGGCGGGGTTGGGGGAAGAAGGGGGAAAAAAGAGAAGAAAAAGGGAAAAATGGTATTTCTTGTCCCTGTCCCTCGTGCTTTATTTCCTCCTCAGCTCTGAGCACTGGTGGTGGGCAACCAGCCCATGGCAGGAGGGGCTTTGGAGCCCCTTCCAACCCAACCATCCCATGGTTCTGTGATCTTTAAGAAGGTTGTTCTGGCTACTGCTGCTGCATCTTCTGCTTTGTGCCCAGCTCCGCTTGCTCACACCAGCAGCAAACTTCCAGGCTGTGTGCCCTGCAGGAAAGCACTGTGATGCCCTATGGAAAGGTGCCAGCACTGCTGGGATCTTTAGGGGGAATCACGTAGTGTGGGCTCCTCCAGCCATTCTGAAGGTTTGCAACATCGCCGTCTCCCTCTCCTCAAAATGAAATATTTTGTCATTTCTGAACCTGCGATAAACTCTCACATCCTGGTGCTGGTGGTGGGGGGTCACGCTGTCTTCTCACCCTCCTCTCTCTCCTCTGTCCTCAGGTCCCTCTAGCACGTCATGATGGTGGAATCCGCCTCGGAGACGATCCGCTCCGCTCCATCCGGCCAGAACGGGGTCAGCAGCCTCAGCAACCAGCCCGACGGGGGCGGCGGCGGCGGCGGGGGCCGGGAAGGGGCTGCCAGCGGGGACAGCAACGGGGAGCTGAGCCCAGTGGAGCTCCTGCACTTCCAGCAGCAGCAGGTAGGAAGGATCAGCGTGGGGTAACCCAGTGTTGGGCACGGGGTCGTGGGGGGGGACCTCTGGGTTTGGCCGTCCCAAGTCCTGCTCTAATACGGACACCCAGAACTGGTGTCGTGCTGTAACAGGGACGCCCAGAGCTGGCACCCAGCTCTGCAGCCAGCTGCCTTCTGGATATCCCCAAACGTGGTGACTCCACAACCTCTCTGTGTGCTCTGTCATGAGGTTCTCCAAATATTGGGTTTGGGGCAGCATTTGTGTGCACCCACCCCTCACCCCCAGGGCTGCTCCAGGAGGTGGGTCGCACCAAGCCTGGTTCTTGCACCCATCCTTACAGGGACAGAGCCCTGGCAGCAGCCTGGCTGTGCTCTGCAGGGAAGAGTTGCCTGTGCTGGGGTGGGTTTGCACACTCGGACCCCTTGGGCTCAGTGCACGAGGAGGAGGAGAAAGGCTTTAGGAATAAAATGAAGGCCACAGACAGTAAAGGAGGAGCAGGTTTGCTCTGCTTCAGCCCATCCAGCTGGGTGAGTGCTGGGAGCTCAGAGTGCATTGAGATGAATTAAGCTCACGTGCATGGCAGACACGCATGGAGCTGTGTGTGCACTCCATCCTGGCACACACGTGTGCACCTTGGAGGTGGCACCTGGCATCCCTGTGTGCCTGCAGGTTACCTTTCCAAACAAACTTTGGAGAAAACATAAATTTTCCTCCTTGGATACTAAATAAGGCAATGATCCCTGCCTCGTATGGAGATCGCCTCCCTGAGCCATAAATTCCAGCGTGAAAGCTGTAAAAAATTGCTGTGTCTGATACTTTAGTAGTGAGTGCTGTAAATCCATTACCTGAATAACAGCCGTTTCGCACGCAGTTAAGCCCCCGTTCCCCTGCTCTGAAGGGTAATCATGCGTGTAATGCTCCCGCGAGTCACCCTGCCAGCGCCTCGCTCCCCTCCCCAGCCCCGAGTTGCGTTGGATGGATTGGGGACATGCAGCAAAGTGCTGTGAGCTGCAGGCCGGGCTGCGCTCTGCAGGGAGGGGGAGACGGGGGTCTGCACGGCACCGTGCTCTTGGCTGCACCCGTACAGGTGCACGCTGCGTGATGCCTGCTCAGTGCATGGCCTGGGCTGCATCTCACCTCTTTGCCCAAATCTCACCTCGTCCCCGAGTGTCACCCTTCTGCTTCTCTTCCTTTAGGGCTCCCAGTGTCTCTGTGTGTGGAGTTCTGAAGGCGGACGGTTGGGTACAACCAAAACCAAACGCCGTCTGCAGTGCTGCACCTGGGGAGGGGGGTGAAGTCCCCACAGCCATCCGTCTTCCTGAGCACCCACAGGGTCAGGAACGATGTCCCCGGGCAGGAAGCTGTGCACCATTAGGTGCTCTATGAGGGCTTCGAGTCCAGCCCTTGTTGTTGGCTGCTGCTGTCTGACAGTTCCTCCGTGCTGAAATCACCCTTCTCTCAGCTGTGCAAAGCAGTGGGAGGTGGGGGGCATGAAGAAGCCAGCACTTGGTGCCCCCACCTAAGCTTGTAGAGCCACCAGTGGCTTTGAACTTGGGCTTGCACTTATGGGACATTTCCCAACAAGGTCTCGTTGTCTGCCCTCATTTTTCAGGCTGGTTTTGGAGCTGTGAGCTGCATCTTTGGGCTCTGCTGCGTCCAATGGAGCCGGAATCCAGATTCCCTCTGTGGGTTTGCACCAGGGCTGCTGGGCAGGGCTCAGAGTTTGTTTTGGTGGTGCTGGGGATCCCTTCTGTATCCCTGAGGAGGTCTGCGCATCGCAGGGTGGTCAGCACCCTCTGGGGCTGCTCTGTGCCCTCCTGGCTCATGCACCCGTCCGTCCCAGCCCATCTCTGTGCCATCCATCCTTCCCATTGGGAGCACCTCCCAGGCTCTGGAGCCTCCCCTCCCTCTCCCCCTGCCCAGCATTGGCCCGAAATCCTCAGCTTTCAATGGAGGGGCCCCGGCTGCAGAGCCTGAATAGCGCATGCCGCTTTGTGCCGGGGCTGGCGGAGGGGAGAGGTCGGCCGGGGGCATGGGAGGGCTGCCCGGCCCCCAGCGTCTCCCCCCGCCGTTGCTGTGGGAACGCTGACAGACCTCCAGCGCGCCGGATCCGCGCCCCAAAGCGCCCACCCGGGGCCATTAAGGAGGGGGGGTTAACCAGGGGTTGGACCTGACCCCATCCAAATGGGGGAAACAGGGCATGGGGTGGGGGGCACTGCCCAGTGCTGGGGTGTGGGACAGGGCAGCACTGGGGCTTTGGGGTATTCAGGTGCGCCCCGTCACTGGGGGGGCTGGGGGGATTGTGCAGAGCAGGGCCCCAAGTGCTGGGGTTGGTTTGGGGCTCACGGGGTTTCCCACGTTGCTCCAGGATTGTCCTCTCGTGAGTTTGTTGCACCTCAGCCTTTCCAAATGCTGTGCCTGCATCCTCTGCCCGAACCCCCATTGAATGGGGGCAGCCGGAGCCCCTCTGTGTCCCCTGTGCACCACAGAGGCTGCACAAACTGAGGGCACCTCAGGTGGCACTGGGCTGCACAGCACCTGCTGATGCCACGGGGCAGCGGAGCGCCGTGCTTGCCTCAGGTCTCCCCTGAATTTGGGGATGTTTGGGGTTTTTTGTTCTTTTTTTTTTGGTTTTTTTTTGGTAATTGAAATTCCACCCTAAATTCCACCTCCCTGCTGTGCGGTCCTATGGAAAAGGAGCATCTGGAGAGCTCTGCTTCTCCCACGTCAGTCGGTGTTTTATTTTATTACACAAAAATAGAGAGATATTTACAGCTCATTGCAGACGCGTGCAACATGAAGGGCGAGTTATTAGGGGAAATAAGGCTTGCAAAGGAAAGCAGCAACTTGGAGAAGTTGGAGGAAGGGGGGTGGGGGGCAGCGCTCCGCGATAGCACAGATCCCATCTCCCACTCGCTGCACAACAGAGAGAAGGAAACTCATCCCTCTGCCCGGCGGCCCCAGGGCTGGTGCTGACAGTGCTGAGCACAAACGCAGCGGAGATTTGGTTTCTCCTTCCTCACGGGGTGGATGGAGGGGGGACGCCCCGCCGGCTCCGTTCGCGGCTCTGACCGCGGTCCTTCTGCAGGGGAGCTGTGGGATCCGGCGGCGCGGCGAAGGGCCGCCCGGCGCGCTTTTTCCTTTCCCCCTCTCTGTGTCATTTTGTTCATTCTGCTCTTTTTTGAGCCATTTGGTTCTGGTTAAGCTCGGCCGGGGCTGGGCTGGGTGGAAGTGCTTTTCAATATGGCATCATTTACCGTTAATATCCATCTAAAAATATCTGCGCCTCGCTTAATGGCTCTAATTCTGGAATGTGACGATGTCATTTTTATGAGCTTAGTGTAAAAACTCTCCGTTTTTCTTTTTTTTCTTTTTTCCTTTTTCCATTTTTCCTCTTTCCATTTTTCTTCCTTTTTACCTTTCTTCCCTTTTTTTCTTTTTTCCTTTTTTCCTTCTTTTTTCTTTTTACTTTTTTTTTTCCTTTTTTCTCCTTTTTTTTCCTTTTTTCTTTTTTTTTATTTTTATTTTGCCTTTTATTTTTTCCTTTTTCCCTTTTTTCTTTTTTTTTCCTTTTTCCTTTTTTTCTTTTTCCCTTTCCTTTTTTCTTTTTTCGTTCTTTTTCTTTTTTCTCTTTTTTTTCTTTTTTCTTTTACCTTTTTTTGTTCATCCCTTTTTTTTTTCTTTATTCCTTTTTGTTCTTTTCCATCTTCTTAAATTTTTTCCCTTCTTTTATTTTTTCCTTATTTAAAAAAGAAAAAAAACAACAACTTCTCATCCCATCCCAACCTCCTTTGATCCTCCAAGAGCACAGAGGGACAGCAGGGGACACAGCCCACTGATGGATGCACTGTCTGTGCACTCACAGGCAAAATTCAGGGGGGCGATAGCGTTTTTAGGGCAGTCAACCCATGACTCTGTGCAATTTTTCCCCATTCTTTCAGCATCTCGTGGTGCTCAGCGTGCGGACGGGGCTGCGGTTGTGCACACAGCTCTATGGGGATGGGAGCACTGGGTTTTTTAGGGGGGGGGCACCTGCACGTGGTGTCCAGGCCCTGCTCAGGTCCTTCCTTCACTTCTTTGCAGTGCTTATGAAAGGAAAGAAAGAAGCTCAAGCGTTAAATGGGCAGAATCCAGCCAGGTTCCAGTGCTGGGGCTCACAGCTGTGCGCTGGGTCTGCCTGCACCTCCCGGCTCTGCACTGCAGCCCCGCAGCATCAGCTCTCAGCTCGCAGTGTCTGAGACGCTGCAAACTTTTTTTATGGGGTAATTTGCTGATCAAAGGGAGCCATCCAGGAGCATGATGAATTTGACACAACCCATTCGTTCCTAATTACGGGTAACATGCTAATGACTCTTGAATAACACCGTGCAGCCGGCTGCGATTTAAGAAGAAGAAGAAAAAAAAATCATCTTTTTCTCCACTCGATGGAGCCGGGAGGTGGGCACACATCTGTGCTGGGGGAGATCTCCATCCCTCTGCCTCCCCGACCCCAGCACAGGGTGGGGGCTGCACCCCTGCATACCCCTGTGCTGGAGGGTTGCATACAGCCAGGGTGCTCTGTAAGCAGGGTGCCCCATAACCGTGGTGATCCATGGCGAAGGTCTGTGTAACCTATAGTGAGGATTCCTATATAAGCAGGGTGCACCATAACCGTGGTGCTCTGTGGTGAGGGTGCCCTAGATGGGGAGCGTCCTGCAGAGAGTGCCCTGTAACCGTGGTGCCCTTTAGTGAGGCTGTCCTATAGCAAAGATAGGTGCCCTATAACCAGGGTGCCCTATAACCATGGTGACCTATGACAAGGGTCCCTATAACCAGGGTGCCCTATAAACAAGGGTGCCCTACAATTAAGCTGCCCTATAACAAAAATGCCCTATAGAGAGGATACCCTAATGCAAGGATCCCTATAACCACCATGCCCTATAACCAGGGTGCCCTATAGCAAAAGTGTCCTATAACCAGAGTGTCCAATAATGACTGTCCCTAAGATGAGGGTTCCCATAACCAGGATGCCTAATGGCCAAAGATGCCCCATAACCAGGGTGCCCTATAGTGAGAGTCCCTGTGACCACAGTGCCCTATAAGCAGATGCCACAATGTCTTTGCCCAGGAAGTTTCACCATTCCCCTCCCACCTGTCAGCTCCTGAGCACCATTTCCCTTTGATCCCATACAGCATTTTTGGGGCTCCGTGCACATCTGCCCCATCCCATGGCTGACCTGAACTGAAGCAGCAATGTGGGGCAGCAGGCACTGGGGGGGAGGAGTGGTGCCCTGTGTGCGGTCCTGAGGCCATGCCATTTTTTTCCTGTAAATCTTGTAATTTCGTGCTTGAGAGCACACCAAAGTGAGGCAGCCAGCAGGGAGTGAATTAAATTCCCCCCTGAGAGGTGGTGGCTCTGCCCCCTGCGGCCCCACTGCTGCCATGGGACACCCGTGGCACTGTGCCCCCCAGTGCCCTGCCTGCCCAGCGCTGCCGCTCGCTGTCATTGGTGATGCTCAGCACAGAGCTTGCAGTGATCCCAGGTCCTCCTGGAGGCCTGCAGCTCCTCACTCCCATTGGTGCACAAATTGAAAACAGGACATGGGGGGGTGCAGGGAGGGCTGTGCTGTGGGGTTTTCTGGGGGGCATTGGGCAGCAGCTCCAGGCAGCCTCCAAAGCTAAGGAGGGATTCCATGCGGTGCGGATGGAGGAAGCAAAGCCCTGCACAGCTCTGGCAAATGGACACGTGGAGAGCTCCGAAAAGCTGCACAGGGGCACAGATGTGCTTGGGGCTGCTCTGCACAGGGCAGCTCTGTGCCTAGGGCAGATCATACATCGAGCAGATCTATGGGGCAGCTCTGTGCACAAGGCTGCAGTCCCACTCCCGTCCCCGACCTGCCCAGCTCCTGAAGCCCCGCAATGCGATGCAGCTTTGCATCAGCTCCCTCCACTCTTTGGCTTTTAACTGGAATTACTGTTTTCATTTTGAAAAGTAATTAAAACATCAGACCTCGAGCTGTCATAACTGTCACATGGCTTTGTGTGCACATTACCGATGCGCATCCATCGCTGCTAATAGCAGGGAAGTATCGGAGCCCAGGGAGGAGCATGCCCTGCACCAGCTCTGCAGGCCACAGGAGCTGAGATTCTGTTTATTTCCGCAGTGTTTGGGTGAAGTGATGGGTTTCTCCCCTCTTCTTTATCTAGTGAGGATGTATCAAGCTGTAGCCCAGTATGTAGTATGAATTCTTAGAGCCTGCTCCTTCTGCTGCCGTGCGACTTCTTGGTGTGATGCCGCTAATGCTGGTGTCCTCCTGCACTTCCCACAGCCTCAACCTGGGCAGCAATGGGAAGCTGTGGGCACGCTGTGAGATGGCACCCGGTGTCTTTGGGCACGTGGCATGGCAGGCGCTGACTGTGTGCGGGGTGCAGTGATGCTGGATGCACGTAGCCATGGGAAGACGCCGGGTGCTGCGGAGGAGTCTGGCAGAGCAGAGCCAGTGCTTTGCGCCGGGATGCGCTGTTGGTGCAGGAGAGCATCTTGTGCTGCCCTCCTTTGTGCCTCCCTAACCACAGGGAACCACAGTGGGAGGACCCACAGCTGGAGGGCGAGCGAGCCCAGAGGGAGGAGGAGGAGGAGGAGGAAGAGGGGCGAAGGCAGAGGGCCCCTTCCCGCCGCCCACCCCGTGTGTCTCTTTTGCAGGCTCTCCAGGTGGCACGCCAGTTCCTGCTGCAGCAGGCCGCGGGGCTGAGCTCCCCCAGCAGCAATGAGGGCAAGCAGCCGGCGGTGCAGGTGAGCCCCAGGACCTCCCCCTCTCCGGAGCTTTTTGGGAAGGGCTCGGCTGCAAAGCGGCACTGATGCGCAGGGGCAGGGCAGTGCCGTCTGTGGGATGGCTGCAACACAGCAGGAGCCCAGAGAGAGACAGATGCCCTGCAGAGCTCAGGAAAGGTGTTGAGGTTTGATGCATCAGCCCCTGGCTGCGTGTGCATCCCATTCCTTTGGCTGCCTCTGTAACAGCAGGATGGGAAGGAAAGGGTTGCCTGGGGTCGAGGTTGTGTTTGGGAGAAAGGTCCCCCGGGGAGATGTGGAGGGATGGTGGCATGGAGAGAAGGGCACTGGGTGCCACCTCACCTCGGGGCAGCATTTGGATAGGAAGTCCAGAGCTCCCTGATTACAGGAGAGAATTCATGCCCACAGGTGGGCGCTGGGTTAGGGGCAGTCGCTGGGGCCAGAGCCAGTGGGTCCTTGTGCAGGGGACCCATGGGGTGGGTGTTGGTGGCACTGAGAAATGCGCTTCCAATGCACACAGTGCCATCAGAGAAGGGGGGTTTTCTGCCTCTGTGCCTCGGCCAAAGGAAGAGGCAGAGAGAAGGGAGAAAAGGGACAGGGAAAAGCGGTGGGGGGGGAGAAGTGAGCCCAGAGAGTGGGGGAGGTAAAAAGAAGCAAAACCCAAGTGAATGGGAAGTGACAATTTAAATAGCTGTGTGGAGGGGCTCTCCCTTTAGGCTAATTAAATTTATCGGAGAACAGCAGGTTACCTTATTAGAGCCACGTGGGCTTAATTAACAAAGGAAAGTAATTAGCACGCGTGCTCCCCAAGCTAGAGGTCCTGCCTGTGCCAGGCGGTGGGGTGGGGGCTGCGTGGGGCTGGGAATGGGCTCCGGTGGGCTCCTCTCCACCCAGCACAGGAGCAGAGCACCGGGATGAGACCATTCCCTGTGCCCTTCCCCTTTGCTTTTGCTCATGCTGCCGAATTGCATTTTGGTTGCAAGCAGCCCCCGTCCCCTTGGTGAGGCTTTACGTATGGGCTGCCCCATGCACCCCTGCTCCCGGCCTCGCCTTGCTCTGTCCTTTGGAGGTTGGATGGCCAGGGCACGGCTAAATTCCAACGTGCATGCAGTGCTGCTGGAATCACGTCCCTGTGGGGCCGGGGGGGATCCACACCCCCAACCTCCATGGGGCCGAGCAGCAGTGAGTCAACATGAGCTGCAGGCAGGCGGCCTTTTTCCAGCGGTGTTTGCAGGAAGGAAATGCAGTCACCGCATGGAAAATCCCGCGCGGGACAAAGGCAGTAAGAGTGAAGTCACGTTCCGGTAAGCGCTGCGCGCCGCTGTCCGTCTGTCCGGCTGCAGCAGGGTTAACTGCATCTGCCGCCCTCCTCCCTTTGTGTTGCAAAAGAACTTGTGAAAGTTGTAGACGTGAGTCAGAAATAGCTCATAACTCAGCAGCCCGGCCTCTTCCTCCCCTGCCCGGCAGCTGGAGCGGGATCTGCGCGGGGGGAGATGGGGATTAAGCGGGCTGCTTTGAAAGGAAGTTTATCTGACGGCGGTGGTGTGGGTGAGACTGGCCAGGAGGCTGCAGGGCGAGGAGGAAGAGGAGGAGGAGGAGGAAGGCTGCGTGCCAGCGCTGAGCACCCAAGCCCGAAGCGCTGCAGGTTCCCCACTGCTGGGGATGGGATGTTGGCGGGGCGCTGTGCCAGCGGCAATATTAATGGCAGTCGGCGGCGGCGTGCTGCTGAAAGCAAACAGGGAGCCGCTGCTGGGTGCGATAGGGATCGCGGGCGGTGCGTTTCGTGAGTGTGAACCCTCGGTGCCCCCAGATGCCTGGAGGTGTAGCTGAGCACGGAGCCACGCAGCTGACGTTGGGCTGCAGCTGCGGCCCCAAAGCCATCGCCCTGAGAAGCATTTCTGCTTCTTCGCAGCCTTAAAGTGATGGTGATTTTGGCATTTTGCAGTGAGGGCTCTGCATCGCTCACAGTGCCCACGTGCTGCAATTTTGGTGCCAGGCTCCGTCCATTGCTGCATCACGGGGTGACCAGAAATCAGCCTCTGGGGCCCCTCGGTGCCGCCGCGCAGCTCGGAGGGGGGACGGAGCGCCGGGGGAAGGGGAGAGGAGTTCAGAGCAAACTGCGGGAAATTGCTTTTCTTTTGTCTGCGGCGGCGGGGAGGGCAGCGGAGCGGAAAAGTGTATTTTGTTGATTTGAAACTTGAGTGAAATGGGTAATGAAGACAGATCAATACCAGTCCTTCTGCAGTCCCCCTCCTGAAGGAAGGCAGCAGCCCGTCCCGCTCGGCTCGCACTGCGCTGCGTTTCCATCTGAACCCCCAGCCCGGCCCTGCCCCTGTGCTGAGCCCTTCTTCCCCTGCACTGCGCTCCCTTTCCCCTGGCCGCAGCCCAATTACACCCCATTAGTGCACCTCTTGCTAACGAGGCACTCGGTGCAGATTGGTCTCCACGTTCTGAGCGGGGTTGGGGCGCAGGTGGGACGAAGGCAGGAGCTCTATCTCCTGCCATTCCGAGCTGACACCCTCAGTTTGTAGCTGTTGCATTTGGGTTTTGTCGTTGCGGAAATGGCGATGCTCCTTCACCGTGGCTTCGTGTGGCTCCGTGTGATGCTGACTGTGGGATTACTCAAAGCTGGGATGGGTGCCCGCTCTGTGCCCCGCTGCTGCTCCCGCTGCAGGGACGGTGCGTTCCCTGCAAGCCATAAAAAAAAAAAAAAAAAAAAGTTTTAAAAAAAAAAAAAAAAAAACCCAAAAAAGGCAAACAGCACTGCTCCCCAGCCCGGCCAACTCGGCTTTGGCGCTGAGCTCCCCTTTAATACCTGTCTTGTTTTCCACCCCCGCCCCATCGCTGGCACGGAGGGATTACAATCCTGAGCGCCTGGAAAATCACCCCTGAGAGATCGCGCTGGCCGATCCGCGCTGCAGCGTCGTCGGGGCTTTTTGTGAGGTGGCCAAAGCTGTTAGTAAGCAGTTCTGCGGGGTGGCAGGAGGCCAGCGGTGAGGCAAGCCCTGCTGTGCGCCCAAGGCGGATGCCAGCCCATCACAGCGGGACGCAGCTGGGGCCGAGCCTGGGTGCTGGGCAGCCTGAAATGCTCCCATCTTCACGCTGCCCATCCCCAGCTGCAATGCAGCTGCATCCCAAGGGCTGCCCCCCCCCCCAGCTGCCAACATCCCCCCCAGGTTAGCACCTCCCCGGTGTCCCTGTGCCGCAGCAGCTGTCCCATTCCCCATCCCCACACCGGATAAGCGAGCGCAGCAGGAGCGGAGTTTGCTGCAAGTGGGAATTTCCCATTGGACTCCAAGTTCCTGCCCTGCTCAGAGCCATCGCAACATCTGGGCAGGGAGCTGCGCTCCGCCGACGCTCACACCTCACCCCACCACCTCCCCACGTCAGCCCCGCGTCGGAGCGCGGGAGAAAAAAGGCATTTAATGCAGACAAAGGTTGTATGAAAATATAATTCCGCTTTTGTTAGCAGCCATCAAACTCTAAAAAGCATCGCTTTTGTTTTCTTGTAACGTTGTGAAAACCTCGTGTCGGATCGAGAGCTGGGGCCCTCTCGACTAATCGCCTCTCCTTTGTGTTTTTAGATTATAGGGGCAATTAGTGTTGTCAAAACCTCTGGCAATTCTCTTTGCTCTTGACAGGGTGTCAGTCCGTTGGGCGAGAAATGGAAGGTGTTATAACTCTCTGGTAATTAGGATGCCTCCGATTGGAAAATGCCAGCAACGGCGGACAAGGGGCCGCAGCGAGGGGGTGGGGAGGCAGCCAGGGTTGGGGGGGGAGGAATGCGTGCAGCAATTAATTAGGGGCTCTCATTCCGAGCACGCTGCCAGCTTGATGAATCGGTGTAGGGAAATGAGCAGGATGCTCCCGGCACACGGGCACGGACCCCGCGCGCATCGCTCCTCACCAGATGTGTGCACAGCTGCACGCTGCCACCTGAGCACTGCTGGGGACACCGTGGGCTTGGCTGTGGTTTGAGCTCCTCCTGCGCAGCTCGTTGCTGGGGGTGCTGCTGTTGGATGGGGTGTCAGCCTGTTCACTGCTTGGCCAGTATCCCTGTGCTGGGACGTCCTCAGGCCCCCGCTGCTGCCCCTGTGAACCAGTGGCAGTTAATAACTAACCCTGACCCGCTGGTGCCTGGGGGGGCTCATGGTGACAAACGGAGCTCGGCGCGCTCCTGACACCTCCCTCCAGCCTGGTGCCTGAGCAAACAGATAAGCCTTTGCAATCTCCCTTGAAGGTCAGCGTGCTCCAGTGTGGCCGGGTGCCGGCGGGGGGAGGCAGTGCTGGGGCTCCTCCCTGGGCTTAGGGTGAGCTGCAGCCACAGAGCCACCAGTCTTGTGGATCTGCCTCTTGGTTCTGGAGGTCTTCGGGCCCATGCGCTTGGCTTGCGTGGGGAGCTTTCTACTTGCCTAGGAAGAAGCGCCCAGGGAGCTCTGGGGAGCTGTGGCACCATCCTGCAGCCTGGGGCTGGGGCTGGCTGCTGGGATCACGGGGGATATGCTGGGGAAGGCAGTGCCATGCAGGACCTGCTCGCAGCCTTGGACCCAGCACCCTGCTTTGTCCCAGCCTGTATCCATGGTGGGTGGACCAGCAGTTCCCACAGCCCCCCCCCCCAGCACATGTCATGGTTCATGGTGGTCAGTGCTGTCAGCTGGAGGGAGAGCTCTGATGGGGAGCCTCGTCACACTCTGCTCCATGCTATGCTCTGCAAATTTGGGGAACAGTGATCTTCCCTCGACATCCTCCTCCTGCATGCTCTAAGAGCCCTGGAGGGCACAGCGGTGCCTGGTGCTGCTCTGGGGTGTTAGCCATGCACATAGGAGAGCAGGGGCTGTAGCTGGGGCAGTGCTGGTTCTCAGTGCTCCGTTCCTGCAGGCACCTCTCTGCCATCAGCACCGCATCACATCCCCACACTGGGGTCAGGGTGATCCCAGCGTGCCGGAACAGGTGCCTGAAGGCATCCCCAAATGGGATGTGGAAACAGGGGACACAGGGGAGGTGGTTGGCGGAGGATTTGGGATGGGGGCATGCGGGCTGTCAGCATATGGGGAGGGCTGGGACCAGCAGTGTGGTGACATGTGTGTCCCTCCTTTCCGCAGGTCCCCGTGTCCGTGGCCATGATGTCCCCACAGATGATCACACCACAGCAGATGCAGCAGATCCTGTCCCCGCCCCAGCTCCAGGCCCTCCTGCAGCAGCAGCAGGCAATAATGCTGCAGCAGGTAACGCTGCTCCCCCTGGGGCTCCCATCTTCCCTCTGCCCTTCTCTGGGGCTTCCTGGCACATCCTGCACTGGGAGAGCTGCGGGTGCAGAAGGCATCGCAGAGCACACAGAGCTGTGCCCTGGGGCCAGCATGGGACTGGCGTGGGGCTGGGGGCCAGGTGGGTGCTACATGGTTCCACCCAGCCCTAGAGCTGCTTCTTGCAGTGTTCCCAAGTGCTCCTTGTGTGTAAAAGGAGTAATGAGGGAAGAGGAGGGAGAAGAGGAAAAAAAACAAACCCCAACTGCGGCAGAAAGCGGGGCCGCTCAGTAAACACCTCCGCTGGCAGAGAGAGGGAAGGAGCGATCCCACAAGCATCCTCCCCACCCTTCCTCCTGCCTCCAGTACCTGTTTACTCCAAACAGGCTGATAAGGGCTCAAGGTTGGCCCCAGGGAAAGAACAAAGGGTAAACAGTACCCTGGGTGGGTCCTCCCGCAGCCTCTTTGGAGCCGGATAAAGAAACACGTTTGACTGCAAATTAAACAACCCAGGCCGGAATAGCTCGCATTCTCCACCAGAAGAAAACCAAACATCACACCTCTCACCCCTGACCCAATGTTCCCGCAGCCGCGCTCGACCATGCGGCAGAGCCCCGGCTTTGATTGGCTTTCGGGTAAACACCGAGGCCTTCCAAACCTGTTCGCCGACAGAAAAAGCAAAGTTGCTGCTGTCAGCGCTGTCAGCCCTGAGCTGATAAAGGCTTCCCGGCATCCGAAGGGGCATTCCTGGGCCAGAGCCGCCCACCCCTGCTCACCCCCCGCCGCCTCCGGCCCCATCAGCGGTGCTGTGCTGTGGGGCCATGCTGGTGGCCGTGCGGTTGAGCGCTGCTGGACATCACCCTCACTGTGGCTCAGTAGATGGGATGTGGGTCTGCCTGCTGGAGTGCCCTCCGTGCCCACAGAGCCTGCTCAGGGCGTGGGGCAGCAGGGGACCCCCCCAGCTCTGCAGCAACATCCATGGGTGTGTGGGGTGGGTGGGAGATTCTCCACTGCTGGAACGTGGGGTTACTCGTATCAACAGATGCGCTCACGCCTCATTGGGAGCCCTCTCCTGGGTGTGCACTCCATGCTTGGAATGGGAGCTTAGGGGTTTGCTTGGCTGTGGGGGTGCAGAGCTCTCAGGAAGGTGCTCCCAGGTTTTATGCCACATGGGATGGCCCCGGTGGTGCTGTGCTCGGTGCTGGGTGGCTGCAGGAGCTGCGTGGCTGCAGCACGGGGCTGGCAGTGCAGGGCAGAGGGCCAAGCGGGTGTTGCTGGTGTTGATCCGTCCTCTCTCCTCCCGTCCCTCCCAGTTGCAGGAATACTACAAGAAGCAACAGGAGCAGCTTCACCTGCAGCTATTGACACAACAGCAAGCCGGAAAGCAGCAACCCAAAGAGGTGAGCTCATGCAGATGGGTTCTGGGCCATCAGATCTGGCTGCAAATAAAAGGGGACCAGCAGGAAGAGAACAAGGCGTGTGTGAATCCCAGCACCTGGGGGAGGGGCAGGGCCCATCAGAGGGGACGTGGGACTCAGTGGCCCCTGGAACAAATCCCCAAATCCTCCCCTCGAGGGGAGGGCAGAGCGGGATTGGCGCAGCCCTGCCCCATTGCATGGCCCCAGTTCACCCATGCGGCAGCAGCGCAGTGGGAACCTAGAGCAAGGCTTAGGAACCCCTCTCTCCTCCCCACTCGCTGTACGTGGTGCTGCCAGGGCTGTTCCATGCTGTGCACATCGCTGCACCCCCAGCACTGCTGCTCTCTGCGGTCCATGCTGGCACCCACTCGAGCTTGACGAGGCTCTGGCTGCGGCTGTCATTGCTGTGCCCACGCGGTGTGCAGGGGTCGGCCGTCCTGCAGCCATCTCTGGGAGCTGCAGCTGCTGCTCTTGCTCCAAGATCAGAGCTGGCTTAAAGAGAGCGTGGCAACTTGTAATTAAACGCCACAGAGGAAAGGAGAAATGTGTCTGCTGAGAAATGCTGTGGGGGAGAAGGAGCATGGCTGGGATGGAGGAGGGCTGTGGTGTGTCCCAGAGCTGTTTGCTGTGCTGCTTTGCAAAGGAGAACCCTCAGCATCCCTGTGCTGTGCTGTGGGATGGACATCCCTTCCCACTGTGGCAAAGGGCTGCCAAGCTGCTGCCCTTTGCCATTCATTCCCAGCTCGCTGCTCCCAGAGCCCCGCATGGCATGGGGATCCCTGTGTGCTCCAATGGAGGGGGCTGCCCCTGCTCCCCCCCCAGCCTGTTCCAGCACAGCCCCCCGCGTCCAGCAGGGCTGGGGAGGGGCGGTGGGGGCTGCCTGTGCCTCACCTCGGCGTCAGCTTAATGAACTGCTCCTGTCAGTCCCTGGTGTCACACCGAAACTCCTCTTGATGTGCTCATAAATCAAAGTGACGGCGCCTCGCACCCCGTGAGCTGCACCCACTCAGCTGCAGCTAATGTAGGCGGCGCTGGGAAGGTACTGCGGCCCCAGATGGGGGGGGGGGTCACTGGCATAGGGGTGGGGGGACACTGAGAGATCCAGCTGGGGGATCAGACCCTAGCAGGGAGCCAGGCCAAGGGGTTCAAGCTCTTAAATCACGGTGGGCACTGCTCCTGCCTCCCATCAAGGATCCCCACCAGTGGGTGCCGTGGGTCGGACCCCCGCAGGTGCACCCTGTGTGCACAGTGCATTCCAACCCCGAGCAGTTTTTGGCTGTTTGGTGCACATTTGCACTCTGGGGTGGGCAGAGGGGCTCCTCAGGGGGGGATGTGGCCCTTGGTGTGGGTGATGCTTTCCCATACTTGTGCTGCGGAGCTGGAGGGACACACGCGTGGGTCACAGTGCAGAGCAGGGTGCGCCCACGGGCTCTGGTTCTGCTGCGCTGAGCGCCCCGGGGATCCCGATGACTTCATCCGCTGCCAATCTGCCCCTGCTTCCCGCCGGGAAGTGCCATGAATGAGGCAGTGTTCAGGGAGCCCAGGCATGCCCAGGGCCCCTGGGGAAGGCGGCGGCAGGGATGGAAGAGAGCAGGGAGAACCCAGCTATGGGGCGAGAACAGGGCTTGCCAGGGGCACGGGTGTCCACCCAGAGTGCACAGCCCTGTCACGTTCTCCTCCCTGCATCCCAACCCTGCAGGGCCGCAGCATCCAGGGTTCCTCCTGGCCCAGTGCATCGCATGTGACTTCTCTGAGCAGCAATGGCTTTATTTCTGCCTCAGTCTCCTTGCATCAGGGAGTAGGGTGGTGGTGGATAGGAACCCTGCATCCCTCTGGGGCTGAGAAACCTGACTGAATGACATCTGCACAGTGCAGGGGCAGTGCTGCCCGGTGGCCAGGGCATGTTGCTGTGGGCTGCACCGACGTGTGCTGACTGCAGGCTGAGCTGCAAGCTGAGCAGGGAGGGAGGTCTGGTCTTGGGGGTCTCTGTGCCCAGTGAATGGGGCTGGGGGTGCAGTGCGACCCCTTGCAAACATGCCTGCAGCTCGCTGCTCCCAGGAGGCCCCGTCCCACTCTGTGCCCCATGGAGCTGCGTTGCCATGGGGGTCGGCGCGCTGCTGCCAGCCTGGCTCCTTGCAGCCTGCAGACAGTGTTGGAGAAAACAGAGAGGTTCACAGGGTTAGCGGGCTGCCTGCCCTGCTAATGAGGCCGGGCAGCCCGGGGCAGCTCCCCTCTCATGGCCCGCTTGGATTAGCAGCTGCCTTTCCCTGTCCCTAATTGAATTCTCTCCCCTTCAGTTAATTCTCATGGATTTCTCAGTGCCTCCCCAGGGACCCATCCTGCCTAACAAGTTTAGGGCCCGGTTCCTCTGGTCAGAGTGTGGCAGGATGATGGGGAGCCCCCCCAGTCTGTGCCCCACGTAGTTACACTGGGGTGGGCACCCATGGACCAGCAGCACAGGTTACCAGCTGCCCTGGAGGCTGCCCTGTGCCCCCACCTAAAGGGACTCATAGCAATCATCTGTGGGGAATGGAGGTCGATGGAGGGTGTGCACAGCCGGTGTTTGTTAGGGTGCATTTTGGGTGCTGGAGACCCCTCTCCATCGGTGATGCTCTGTAGGCAGAGCTGTTTCTCATTCTCATACAAACAACCAGCTCTGCTTGCTCTCTCCCTCTCTTTTCAGTGCTTTTTTTTTTTTTTTTTCCTCCTTTTTTCTTTTTTTTTCCCACTTTCCTTTTCTTCCCCTCCTCTTCCGATAGATCAAAGCCTGTTCCCGGCGCGGCCGCCAGCCAAGCAGGCCCAGCAGCACGGAGCCCCGGCGCGCTGCCCGCACCTGCAGCCGTGCCCCTGCCCTCACCGAGGCCACAATGCCAGCGCTCACCGTCTCCCTTTTGTTTCCCAGCAGCCGTTAGGGAACAAGCAGCTGGCGTTCCAGCAGCAGCTCCTGCAGATGCAGCAGCTCCAGCAGCAGCACCTGTTAAACCTGCAGCGCCAGGGGCTGGTGAGCCTCCCGCCGGGCCAGGGCACCGTGCCCCTGCAGAGCCTCCCCCAAGGTAAGGTGCGGAGCTGGGGGGCTCGGCGGGGGGATCCTGGGGTTGGGGTTTCCCTGCTGGGATGTGCAGGAGGCGGTGATTTGCAGAGTGCAGGAGCAATGCTGAGCGCTGGGTAGGACGGAGGGGTGGGCGGCGGGTGCTGCTGGGCCGTGTCCCCCACTGATGGCTGTGTCCCATCCCCACGCAGCTGTGTGCCCCTCGGACCTGCAGCAGCTCTGGAAGGAGGTCACCGCCGCCCAGCCTGTCGAAGACAGCATCAAACAAGAGGGTCTCGACCTCACCACCAACACCTCCAACTCTACCTCGTTTTCGGCCGCCAAGGTCTCGCCTCCCATTTCCCACCACCCTCTGCCCAATGGGCAGAGCACCATGCACACGCCAAGAAGGGACAGGTAGGGACGGGCTGCAGCCATTCTGCTTTTACCCCTGGAACCAGAGGGTCCTTTCTTCCCCATCTTCTGTTCTGTGATGATTGGGAGCCATGCAGCCACGGCTGGGGAGGTTTTTGGGGCTGACCCCAGGAGGTGCCCGAGCATCCCCCTTCCATGGGTCTGTGTCCTCCTCTGCAGCTCTTCCCACGAAGAGACCCCTGGCTCTCACCCTCTCTATGGCCACGGAGAGTGCAAGTGGCCTGGCTGCGAAACCCTCTGTGAGGACTTGGGACAGTTTGTCAAGTAAGTGCTGCCCTTCCTGGTGGGAGAGCTAAGCTTTGGGCACCCCAGCACAGGGAGTCCTGAAATTAGGTATACCCATACAGTGCAAAAGGGGGAACCTGTGCAGAAGGGGAAGACATGCTAGGCCATGCTTCTGGAGGAGGAAAGACCCCATTCAGGGCTGGGGGGCGTACAGATCCCCCCTGGGGGGAGAGGAGGAGAGGAAGCAGATGGCAGCGCGGCAGCCGCTGACACCGCTTGTGGGCTCTGCGCTGACTGATTAACTCCGCTGTCGAAGAGCCCTCTGCTAGCGTCAGGGTCAAACAAATTGTTTTCACGCTTCGTCAGAGGTTTACTTAATTAGTTCATTTGCAATTAGATCTCTTTGTAGCCAGGATTTTTAGCAAAGACATCAGAAGGAACTGACGGGCTCTCTCGCTTGCCGCGTTCCCCCCTCCTCTCAGCTGTCTGCTGGCAGTGGGCATGGTGCTGCTCGGTGAGGGCTGGGCTTCCAAAGCCCTCCTGGGCACAGTGAGGGCAGCTGGGACCGTGCCACCCTGCCCATCCCCTGGGATGGAGCCGGGCAGTGCCTTTGCTGGGGGAGGATGAGGAGGAGGAGGAGTGCGAAGGCATCTGCTGGGGCCGGGAGCGGTGAGTCAGTGCATCAGGCTGCGTGCCCTCCTGCCTCTGACTCACCAGGTGAAGCCAGATAAGGCGCTGCCGTGGCTCTCCAGGCATGTTTGCACGGGGCAGAAGAGACACCTCCGGTTTGGAAAGCTGTGCTGGGTTGGCAGAGCCACCCCCAGCGTGGAAGGGAGTGGTGGTCTGCATGGTGGGGCTGAACCCGGTTGTGGCCTCGGTGGGTGAGGGGCACGTTTCTGGCACGTCCGAGCGTAAAACCCCGCATTCTCCTCCTCAGACACCTCAATACAGAACACGCACTTGATGACCGAAGCACAGCCCAGTGTCGAGTTCAGATGCAAGTGGTACAGCAGCTGGAGATACAGGTGCGTGCTGCTGCACAGTGGCCTGGTTGGAGCAGCTCCCTCCCAGCTCTGTGTGCTCTGCAGGGTGGAGCACAGGGTCGGGGACTGCTGGCGAGACGGCCTTATTCCCAAATCCTTCCAAACATCCCTCCCACCCTGCGGTGCTGCCCGTGTTGTGGTCTGGGTGGGCACTGAGGCGTGGAGCGCTCGTAAACTGCTGCCCCATCCACAACCCACAGCCCTGTGTGAATCTGTAGGAAAGGACGAGCCATCCCTCCTGCCCAGGATGCCACAGTTGCCCTCTGTGGGTACAGGAGCTGCTGAGAAGTGGGGTGCTGGGCGAGGAGCCCAAGTGTGGTGTTTGGAGCCTGGCCAAGGGATGCTATTTTTGGACAGCAGCTCTTTAAATAGTCCTTTTCCCACTGCCTCCGGCTCCCCAAAGTGCTGTGCGTAATTCAGTTCATAGAGAAGGGAGGAGATAAAAAGGGGGGAGCGGTGCTTTTTCATCTCTCAGGGCTCTGTGTGCTGTCCTTGTCCCCATCCCATTCCCTGATCACCCCTAGCACTGAGGGGCTGCATTTGGGGCACCCGGCAGTGCTGTTGTCACCCTTTCCCCTGGCTGTCCCTGGTCTGTTGGTGCCGAGTGTCACCGCAGGGGATACAGAGCCTGGGAGTGGGAGGGGGGAGATGCACAGCAAACTCGGCCCCCTGCTTCCCCAGTCCAGGGGGGCTGCACTGCCATTGCCTGCTCTTGGCATAACGCATGGGGTTGAAAGCAATTACCGGGGCTTAAAGAGGGGAGGGAAGGGAGAAGGAAAAAAGCAAATCCTGAAGGGCTCGCAGAGCTCTGTGTGTGCGAGTGGGGAGCTGCCACCACAGCCACCAATTATGAAGTTTTCAGCACGGAGCTCCCGCTGTGTCGGCGGAGAGCGTCTGCATCACGAGGGGGGACCTGTCAGCTCTAATGAGCGCCGCGGCAGCGCGAAGGCAGCCGAGCTGCTCCAAACTTGCACAAACTCCGCACTGGCTCCCACTGTTAACCCCTCCCAGCCCGGGTTTGAGGGGTCGTGGCAGGAAGGGAAGGTGATGGGAGGAGAGCGCGTGTCAGGTCCCATCGGCTGCGCCGAGCTCGACGCCTCTCCTGGTGCCACAGTGAATATTTCACCCTTCTCTGCGCACCAGGGAGTAAATGGGTGGGGGGCGCAATTACAGTGATGCTATGCGTCCGGGCAGATGGGTGGGTGGATGGATGGAAGGAAGGACGGAGGGGTGGACATGGGGACATGGGAACACGTGGGGTTGCCCCCATCCTGCCTGACCCACTCCCTGCTGCTTCCTCAGCTGGCAAAGGAGAGTGAGCGCCTGCAGGCCATGATGGCCCACCTCCACATGAGACCTTCGGAGCCAAAGCCTTTCAGCCAACCTGTAAGCACACGCCTCCCTCCCTGCCCCACTGCTGCCCCACAGACCCCAGTCCTTCCCTTTTTCCCCACTCGTGCCTCCCATGCCTTGCATGTGGTCGCTGCGTGGATGGGCTTTTCAGAATGTGTGTCATATTCTCCAGTTCTGTTCTGTTGTGCCAAGCATCAGTGCATGGCATGGGGCAGGAGTGAAATGCTGCTCATGGTGGCACACGGCGCTGCTTTGGTCATGCATCAGGTGCATCCCGTCCCTATCCCATAACTGCATCCCCATCCCACAGTGCATCCCCTCCCCACCCCATGGTGCATCCCACTCCCCGCACCGTACCTCCTGCCCAGCACAGTCCCACTCCCAGAGCGGTCCCAGCACAGCCAGCCCCATATTTTCCCCACTCCCATCCGCTCTCCCTTCCTCCCCGCAGCTGAACCTGGTCTCGAGTGCTACCCTCTCCAAGAGCACCTCGGACACGTTCCCCGACGGTTTACCTCATCCCCCCACCTCTGCCACGGCCCCCATCACCCCACTGCGGCAGGGCCCCTCCGTCATCAGCTCTTCCACGTTACACAGCGTGGGGCCCATCCGCAGGAGGAACTCGGAGAAGTTCTGCACCCCGATATCTTCAGGTGAGCGCGGGGACGGGGCTGCGGGGCTGGCAGTGCGGTCCGAGGGTGGGCTGCCGTCACCCCTCCATCCCCTTCTCGTCCTCCCTGCAGAGCTTGCACAGAACCACGAGTTTTACAAGAATGCAGACGTCCGGCCGCCCTTCACGTACGCCTCGCTCATCCGGCAGGTGAGTGGCTCAACCCAAAACCCTGCCCCCGGGTAAAGCAGCTCCCTCCCCTCTCTGCAGCAGAAGGCAGGAGTCTCCGTGACTCCTTGCACGAAGCTCGGGCTCTTTGCAAATGATGCTCTGTCCCCTCTGGGGTCCCCAGGCCATCCTGGAGACCCCCGACAGGCAGCTGACGCTGAATGAGATCTACAACTGGTTCACCAGGATGTTCGCCTACTTCAGGAGGAACACGGCCACGTGGAAGGTGAGAGCATGGCACAGGGCTCCTGCAGCCCCACATCCAGCCCAGCAGACCCCAGCACTGCTGCAGGAAACACTCCCGTTTTTATGTGCTAGGGTCTGGTTTGTTGCACAGCTTGGGAATGACTTTGTGGCTTAGATCCAAGCATTCTGCCACCAGGATGCATCCCCAGACTGTGGGGGGCGGTCGGCCCACCAGGGTCTGTAGGAACTCCGTACAGAGTTGTGTAGCTGGGGCACAGCAGAGCCGCACGTCCCTGTGCTGGGAGATGGGTGGAGGGAAGAGCAAGGCACTTGAAATAGCAAAGAAGGTTAATGATAACCTGGGGGCTGGCAGCACGCCGCACACTGGGATGGCAGAACGTGCTGGGGGTGCAGCCAGCACTGCCCCATCCCTGTGCAAGGAGCTGCCCCCCCACCTGAGAGCTCTGCAGGGTGCTGGAGGGCTGTGCAGGCATTCAGCACCAGGGCAGGAAGGTGCTGGGGGGCAGCTGTGGCACGGAGATGTGGTTGCAAAGACTGACGCAGGTGGATTGCATCGCTGCCTGGTTATTTAGAAATCACCCAACGGGAGAGGAGCGAAGGACTGCTTTGCAGATGGAAGGGGCTGCTGTGATGGAAGGAACGGGTTGCTCTGGAGCTGGGTTTCCCCATGCAGTGCTGAAGCAGAGCAGCTGGAGCCCAGCGCCAGGCAGTGCATGTGGGTGATGCAGTGCTGTGCAGCCCGGTGTCCCCCTCATGGCACACGGCTGCACTGCAGCTGGCCGAGCTGCACCATGCATCACATGGGGCTGTGTCCATTTCTGCCAGGATGGGGTTTGGCCATGGGTCCATCTGGGACAGCCCTTTCCCTACCCTGTGCCTCAGTTCCCCCACTTGTGGAATGAAACAGTGGCTGCTGCTGATGCCTTTCTCCTTCCCTTCTGTGGGCACAGGCGATAAGCATTTGGGTTTTTTTGTCTGCAGCACCCTGTGTGCCCTGGCCCCAAGCTGCTCCCCAGGAGGGGCTGCCCCGGCCCCCTGTATTTCCCTTCTTGCTCTGTTTTTTCCTGTTCCACCACCAAAGGGGATCCAGACATGCCTGGTCAGGGCAGATTCCCTTTGCAACTCTCCATGCCCAAGGCCAGGTTTCTTTTAAAGGAGGGAGATGCACAGGAAAAAATCACCTAATTTCCTCCTTCCAGAAAATTAACATTTCTGAGGTTCCTCCCTCAGCCCCTACTTCCCCACTCCCCCCTCAGGATCCCATCCCCACTCTGGGGCAGAGACAGGGAGCAGTGTGGGGGCCCTGGGGTGGGGGGGCATAGAACAAATATCATTAGAAAAGGCAAAGAGGAGAAGCAAACAAAGCAGCCAGGTCTGGCACTAAACAGACACAGTTCAAATACAAAAACTGTGTTGGGATGAGGTGTGGACCCCCAGCCCCAGCGTGGGCAGCGCTGCTCCATGGCACACAGGGTGGCACATGGGTGACGTCTGTCACCTGCTCAGTGCTGCCAGCACAGTGTTCCCTCCAGAGCTGGGGTCCAGCTGGGTGGGAACATTGAGGGACCACTGTGGGGAGGCACAGAAGGAGGGGTCTCCCTCATTTCCACACCCCAGTATTTCCACAGGGATTTGCTTCTCTTCTGCCCTATGCAGGCGCATCCCTGCCAGCACCACCCCATCACGGTGCTGTTGGGGGGCACTGGGCTGCCAGGGGGCACTGGGCTGGGATGCTGCCAGCTCAGTCAGGCTCTGACCATACCATGCACCCTGCTTCTAACTGGGGCTTTGTTTGGCCGACCAGCCCCCTGTGTGTGCAGGAAGGAGGAAGGGGAGGAAGTCCTGTGTTTGCTCGCCTGAGGACGGGGGTTCAAGGGCAGCACTGGATCCTGTCGTCCCCCCCCTCCCTGCCTGGGGCTGGGGATTTGCAGTGAAGGCACAAGGACAGGGAGATGGGGAAAGTGGTTTGGGGTTCCCCGTGGGGTTCCCGGCTCCCTCCGTTCCTGCTGGACTCAGAGGACAAGGAACACCTTTGGGTGCCTGCAGGGACATGGGCAGCGCTGCCGGGGGCTGCTGAGGGGCAGAGGGGAGGGAGGGAGAGGGGCTTTGTGTCCATCCTACATTAAAAAACAACAAAAAAAAAGGGGGGGGGGAGCAGTGCAATGTGCTGTGAGTTTCCGGGAACTCTCACAGTTGGTGATGGGGGGGGGGCAGTCCTTGCATCTCCTTCTGCCTTGTTGTGCTGGCCGGCTCCTTTGTTTATACAGCCCCCGTTCGACCTTTTAAATTGCTGTTAATGTTTTAGCGTAACGAATTAGTCTCTCATCACGAATCAGGACTCGAAATAAAAAAAAAAAAAATTAAAAAAAAAAAGAAAGAAAAAAAAAAACCCTCCGAGGCCAACTTCCTGAAATTGGGGTCATTCTCATTTGCAAGGCAGAGAATCTGAGAACCTTAATGCAAGGAAATTTATTCAAAGGCAGAGCCCCGGCGTGATTAGGCCCTTTGTAATTATAGCTCGGAGAGATTCCACTCCAGCCTCCTGCCTCCCTCATGGATTAGCAAGTGAGTCGGAAAAATACACAGGATTTAATTAGAGGCAAATTAAAATTGGTAATGAAATAGGGGCAGTAGCAAATGGCAGGGAGTTGGAAGGGGAAAAGGGAGCCGGTATCTCTCGGGGCTGCGCTGTCTGCCTACGTGTGCGTCTCTTTATTTTACATTTAGAGATGTAAAGATGGTCAACGTAAAGAAGAAAGGGAGGGAAAGGGCCCAAAAGGGATTGGGGAGGGGGAAGGAAGGAGGAGAGCTGTGTGTCCGCAGCAGGTGCTCAGGTCTCGCTGGTGTCACTGCCCCTTGTCCTGCTCGGTCCCCATCCCAGTGCCAGCATCGGGCTGAGGGTCACGGCCATGTCCTGGGCTTGGCTCAGGGCTCAGCTCCCCAGACCTCTGGGCATCGCAGAGCCTTCACCTCGGGGCAGGCTGTCAGCCCAGGGTGAGCGGTGGCACCGCGGGGGTTGGGGAGGGAAGAGGAGGAGGAGGAGAAGGAAGGCGGCTTTCAGGCTGTGGGCGTCAGGGCACGGCTGTGCTGCTGAGCTGCATCGTCCCCTCCTGCAGAACGCCGTCCGCCACAACCTGAGCCTGCACAAGTGCTTCGTGCGCGTGGAGAACGTCAAGGGCGCCGTGTGGACCGTGGATGAGCATGAGTACCAAAAGCGAAGGCCACCAAAGATGACAGGGTGGGTGCCGCCCCCTCCTCTGCTGGCAGCGCTGCGGCTCTCAGGGCCGGCGGTGCTCAGACTGCTTTCTGCTCTCTGTCTTCTGCAGGAGTCCGACTTTAGTCAAAAACATGATTTCGGGACTCGGTTACGGAGCACTTAATGCAAGCTACCAGGTGAGGATGCTCCGCTCATCCCCATCCCCTGCAGCACGCAGCCAGCCCTGCCCTGCTGTGGGCACGCTCCACTTCCCGTGCTGGCAGCGCACAGCCGTGGTGCCGTGCCATCGTGGCGGCACTGCGGTGGCACTGAGCAGCCTCTGCTGCCCCATGCAAATCCCACTGCACCGCACAGGCGTTCCCCCATCGCACCCCTTTGCTCGTTGCAGGCAGCGCTGGCAGAGAGCAGCTTCCCTCTGCTCAACAGCCCCACCATGATCAACACGAGCTCTGCCAGTGGGATGCTGCACGTGGGCCACGACGACGTCAGCAGCACAGTGGAGCAAGTCAACAGCAACGGCAGCAGCAGCCCGCGCCTGTCCCCGCAGCAGTACAGGTTGGTGGGGGGACTGGGGGGCAGCCACATCCCTGCAGGGTGTGGGGTTGGAGGAAGGGTGATGGCGCTGCTCGGTGCCCCTGGTGGCTCATAGCCCTCACCGAGGAGCAGTCTGGTGTTACCTATGGTGTACAGACCGAAGGCTGAGTGCCAGCAGGGCCGTCCCCGCGAGGTGGAGGGCTCAGCCCCTCTCTCCCCCCTGCAGCAGCCACCCCGTGCACGTGAAGGAGGAACCAGCCGAGGCTGAGGACGACAGCCGGCCCGTCTCGCTGCTGGCCACCGCCACCCAGAATGTGACAATTCCTGACGACAGGGACCTGGAGGAGGAGCTGCCGGTGGAAGACTTGTCCTAAGGACCTCGAGCGCTGCCCGCGCTCCGGCTGCAAACAAAGCCCGGCTCCCGGCTCCCCAAGGTGACCTCTGGCGTTAACCCGTTTCTTCAAGGCACTTCCACAAAGCAAAAGGGTTTCCTCGGGGCACCCGTCCGGCTCCCCACTGCCCAGCGACTGGTGGGTCCCCGGCGTGGGGGACATGTGGCAAAACAAGAAACAAACCCCCCTGAGCTGAACGTTGTCCCCCCTCCTCCCTTGGTTAGTAACTGGTGAACGAGGATGGTAGATTGTTTCTGTCCGAAGTCGTCCCTCCTTCCTTCCCCACACCCACACTCCAAGGAAGGCTCCTCTGTCCCCTCATCCCGCACCCTGTGGCTGTGGGCTCTCTCCAAGACGCGGCTCCATGATGTCCCCAGATCCCCAGCGACAGCCCCAGGGAGGCAGGACCCCTCTGCTGAGCCTCCTCCCAGTGGGTTTTGCACTACGAGGACCCGCGGTCCTTTCCCACATGCTGCCTCCATCCGGCTTTGGGGGAAGAAACCGCAGAAATGGGGCCGAGATCTGTGCTGCAGCCTCACACCACCATCCTGCACCCGCTGGGACCCTGCGTGTCTGCACAGCCCTAACATCACCACCACTGGTGCTGCCCACCCCCCCCGTGCCGTCCTCCAGTCCCCAACGCCATCGGGCTGGTGGCATCCATGTGGTGACAACCGTCCTGGCTGGGCACTGAGGACAAAGCTCTGGCTGCATCTTGGCACTGGATGCAGCGATGGTGGCTCTCACAGCCGGACCCATGGAAGGCTGGGATGGGAAGAAGCTCCTCGCTGCGGCTGGGATGGGCTCTGGGTCTGCAGGAGCCACAGAAAAGGTTGGCACGTGGAGTCCCACCAGCAAAACCCTGCCCAGGGCTCCAACGCTGCCATCCACGTCAAGGGGGACGGGCTCGCTGGAGCCGGGCTCTTCATTCCCCATTTTGCCTTCGTTCCGTCCTCCTCTTGTGTGCGTTGCGCGACTGCGTCCAGATGGGAAGATACCAAAAGATGTCTAGAGACAGCAGGTCCGTAGTTCAGGTGAACAGATGGTATTGATGCCAAAAAGAAATAATAATAACGAGAACGACACAACCAAACACCCCTCTTCTCCCTGCGCTTTCTTTCTCTGGTGGCAGTGGTGGTACCCAGGCTCCCCATAGCCTGGGCTGCTCTTGGTGGACCAATGCCCCCCCTCCTCTCCTGGGGGATGTATTGGTGTGCAGCATTTCTCTAGGGTCAGACCTCCTCCTTCCTCTGCTATGGGGTGAGAGCTGGAGTGCAGTGGGGCTGCGTGGGGCACCTTGTGGGTCTGCTGCCCCCAGAGCTGCGTTTTGTGCTGAAAATGGGACACGTGTTGTGGGGCGCAGGCAGGGGATCCCCGGGTGAGCAGTGTTTTGTACCCATGCATCACCTCAGCAACGTCCCCAAGGTGCTGGTGACCCTGCAGCGTGTATCCCCTAATTCAGGTCACTGCAACACCTGCATGCGGGGATGGGGCTCCCAGGAGGCCGAGCAAAACCACCCCGTACTTGAAGGGGCGTCCCCCTGTTGCACCGTCCAGGCGATGCTGAACCCCAAAGCTCATCCTGGTGGGGGGTCACCTGCATCCCCTGTACACCCCCCAAAAAAACCCCAGCAATAGAAAGCAGTGAGTTATTCTACGATGGGAAGATCCCTCGGCGCAGCTCGCCGTGCCGCTCGGAGCACGGAGCGCTGCCGGGCTCTCCCCTCGCTAGGTGTCCCCACTCGCCCCGCGTTCCGCCGCTCCATCGCCGCTGCCACCGCCGCATACGCACAAGCAGAGCGCAGCGCCGAGCATCCCCGTCACCCCCACCAAAGAATTCCCCCCCCCCCCACTCACACACCCCTCCCCCTACAACTTTTTTTTTTTAAGTTATTGTTTTAAACAAGTTTACAGCTCCGCGTGGAGGTGTGGATGAAGGTTGGCCGGTGCCGTGCGCTGCTGCTTTCCTGCCCTACAGAGGGGCGGGGGGGTTTGAGGAGGGAGGATCTGTCTGCCGTGTTGGTGCCCCCCGCCTCCACCCTCACCCTCTGCAGCTCAGTTTCCCCTCAGCATCCATCCAGGCTTCATTTTTGTCCTTTCGACTTAGGAAGACTAATTCTTTCTTATCCATACAAACACTGGCAGTGCTTCCCCTTCCCCCTTCCCCCTTCTCCCTCCCCCCTACCCACCCCTCCGTGCCCTTTGCTGGAGCTTTCAGCGTCGCTGCTTTGGGGATTGTGGGGAACATTGGGGTCCCAAGCAGGGCAGCCTTCCGTGCCCTCCCAACTCAATGGGGCAGTGTGGCCGTGGGGTGCCAGGCAGGAGTTGTTGTCCCCAAGCATGAGGTTCCCTCCAGCCAACAGAGCCTGCTTTCCTCACGTGCTTTGGGGTCCTGAGCACCCCGATGGCCCCGGGGAGGGGACGATGTGCCCTCTTGCTGTTGTTCCCACTGAGGGACACTGCATTCCGGGGGTTGAGGCACAGCTGGTGGCACCTGGTGGCTCTGGTGACACTTTGCTGATGTCGCCAGCCCTGCATCCCTCTGCCTGCGCTCTGCACAGCTCCCACCGCTCCTCTCCTTGGAGCTGCCTGTTTCCATAGCTGCTCTCTTCGCTCTTCTTCTCTTCCCGATTTTCCTCTGGGGATTTCATTTTCATAGCAGATCTTCCAGCGCTGTTTTCCTGCACTGGAATGAGTGAAAGCAGGCACAGCGTGGGCACACAGCATGCTGGCACACCTGCAGGCCCTCTGTGCTCCCCCTTGGGCTGTGCTTTGTGATGTTTCAGCTGTCCAGCGGTACAATCGCCCCAAACTCCCCCCAGAACTGTGATGAGGTCCCCCCTGCACCCCCAACCCCTCCTCGCCCTGTGCCCCATAGGTTGTTAGCCGCAATCCCGGCTCGCGTGAGCACCACGTATATATATTATATATATATAAGTAAATATATAAATATAAAGGAGGTTTTTTTTTAAAAAAAAAAACAAAAGCAAAAACAAAGACATGCACAGGTTTTTGGGATGCCCCGTGGCTCCGAGCCGTGCCTCCCCCCCAGCCAAAGTGGGACCACGGTGGGGGGGATGCGGGCGCCACGCGTCGCCCTGCTGCTCTCAGGGCCGAGCGGCCCCACGCACAGCCTGCACCCCACCAGGGACGGACGCCCCCAGCCCCGGCGCGTGTTTCCTTTTCTGCCGGTTGGGATTTGTACAGAATTCCACGTCTTACCTCAAACACGTGTCTGGCGCAGGGGAGAAGGGAAGGAAGGATTGAGGACCAAAGGCAGCGCGTGGCGGAGCCCCGTGTCTGTATATACGGAGATCTGTACATACTGGTTGGAAACCCACTGCCACGAGCTGCTCTCTTGCGTTGGGATGCTGGCTCTGCTCACGGTGGCGGCTTCTCCCTCACTGATGTCCAGAAGGATGAACTCTGTTTTCAATGTCTTTTTTTTTTTTTTTTAATTATTATTATTATTTTTAACGCTGATTCGTTTTGTGTGGAATCGGTGGAGGGGGTCGAGGAGGGGCCAAGCGGTGGGGCAGCGCTGGGTGCCGGGGGGGGGGGGGGGGACAGCACACG